CGTGGCGGGGCGTGGCGGGGCCCAGGTCAGCAGCCGTTGGACTGGTTGCACGGGGGAACTGGGCCAGATCTGGAAATCGATGTGAGCGGTTCGACCCGACAAGGATCGCGCGGAGTGCGAGGAGAGGAAGAAGGGCACGGCAGGACGCAGGAAAAGGGCGAGAGAGAAAGACAGAGATAGAGAGAACGAGAGGGAGAGGAGAGATAGACAGAATTAAAATAAGTCACGATATACCCGGGCGATAAGTCGCAGCTCTAAATAAGACCATTTCTGCGCAATTACCACCGCTCGCCTATCTGCACCTAATTATTTACGTACTCAGCCTTCAGAGCCTCGGGGCCAGCGGGGACAGTTGCGCCGCGCTAACGTTGGCCACAACCCATCAAGTCCTCTCCGAATTGATTCCCGCGAGTATCCCGCTGCCGCCGGCGCCCTTCTCTCCAACGCGGCCCTCCCGGCGAATCAGAGGGAAGATCTCGGCGGAATATAAATGAACAATTACGGGGCAGAGCCGGTGGCGGTGGCGGTGCTGCATTGGCGGTGACGGGCCTGGGGCCTCGGGGCACGAGATGGACACCGCCGGCCCGCCCCAAGCCCGCACCCCGTCCTCACCGCCGGCACTTCCCCCGGGCCCGGGGACCGACGGGTGTAGCGCGGGGCTGGGAGCGGGGGCGGAGGACAGCCAGGGGCCCACACGGCCGACTCTGGCGGTGTGTTGTATACAGATGATAAAAGGAGCGACAAAAATAAAAACCGCAAAAAAGTGGCCGAGCGAGGAGGGGTTGGCGGTAAGCAAGTTGACGGCGGTGTTTCCTGCACCCGCCCGCCCCGCGGCCCGCCCCGGACACACATGTTCATATTTCATCCTCGGCCGCCTGAGGCTGCGATAAGTTTGTATCCAGCAGCCGCCTGCAGCGAGGCTAGGCCGGCCGGGCGTCCTGCCGCTGCCGCTACATCTCTAATAACCGCCGCCGCTGCCGCAGAGCTCCCAGCCCGGCCGAGCAAGGAGCAGGAGGTGGAGGAGGAGAGGGGCGCACCTCCTCGACGACGCCCGCCGCCCGCCTCGCGCCTTGGGGCCGTGGCCGCGAGCCGAGTCCCGCCCCGCCGTGCCGCACCGCTCCCGCTGGGCCCCTACGCGGGGCGTGGCGGGGCGTGGCGGGGCGTGCGGCATGCAGGCAGGGGCAGGTCCGCCGCCGGCATGACAGCAGCAGCGCCTCGCCCCGCCCCGCCACTCTCCTCCGCCTCGCCTCTCGCCGCGCCCCGCCGCGCCACGCCGCCCGCTCCGCCGCAGACGAGCAGGCGAGCCGCCGTCGCCGGCCTGCCCGCCTGCTCTGGGTAGCTGCTGGCTGGTCGGCTCGGCCGGCGAACTTGTTTGGTTCGGTCCGGAGGAGGAGGCAGAGGTTCGAGAGCGTGTGTCGCCGCGTGCGTTCGCTGACAGCTCGTGCGCCGTGTTGTGTCGTGTCGTGTCGCGTGTGTCGTTTATGTTGTGTTGTGCTTGTGTTTCATCGTCTGTTGGCGTGACGGCCCCCTTTCCTTTACCGTCCGGTGCGCCCTCCGTGTGCCTCCAGCTGTGGCTGGCTGATAGTGTGCGAAGCCCCCCCCCCCCGTCCCCTCCCTTGTGTCTTCCCCCGCTGTGTTCACCTTGCTCTTGGCCTCGACGCAGCAGAGCCCCGGCTTGGCAGCTCTCCCGGATTGGATATGGACGCCGCCGCCGCCGCAACACTGATCGCCGGGGGACGGGTTGACAACACGACCTCGGCCACCACCTCGTTGAAGACAACGTGACCCCCGCGTCCTCCTTCGGCAGGTGGGTTGGCTGACCTGGACCTGGGTGTGCGGAGCGTCAGCTGAGAGGAGACGGCCTCGGCCGCGTCCAGCAGGAGGTCGGCCCCGCGAGGTGTAATTACGTGGTCGTTGGCGACCGCGGTGCGGAGCCGAGCGTGCGGGAGACACCACGGGAACGTCGTTCGCAGTAAAAGTCGACGAGAAAGTGGCCGGACAAGCCTTGCCGTCCCCTCCAGGTTCCGAAGAGTGTCCGTCCCGTCTATAGCGCTCCTCCACGCAAGGCGCTCGCATCATCATCACTTCCAAAGTCGATTGAAAAAGAGAACTGCTGAAGTGTGCAGGTCCGAAGGTGTGGGGCAGCGGCGCCGCCGGCCGCCGGCCTGACGGCTGGGCTGGGGGGCCTGGCACCTCTCGGCCGCCGGAACCAAACAGCCTCGCGCCCTTGACACCTTGAAGGAACGAAACGTCGAACCGCCCCGGCTCGGCTCGGCCCGGCCCAGCAGACTGATTCCGAAGAGCGCTCAAGGGGAGCTGTCCTATGAGTGCGACAAGGATGGAGCTATACGGAAGGTATAGGAGAGCGCTCTTCGGAATCAGTCGGCAGCCCAGCCCAGCCCAGCCCAGCCCAGCAGGAGGTCCTCGCCTCGTCGGCGTCGGCCTTTTAAACGCCAAGTCATGTTGACTGGCCCTCGGCCGCCCGTGGCCCTCTGCTGCGGCGCCCGGCGCGCCCTTCACTGACAACAGCGCGGGCTCCGGGAGAGACGACGTCCCAACTTGTGAATACTTTGTGCCTCGCTTTGGACGGATGGGTCCGCCCGTCAGCGTGGTGCTGCTGCCCATGCTCGTGGGCTGGGCTTCCCTTCCCCCGTGCGGCGTGGCCTCCCTGGGCGCGCCCGTAACCTTCCCCCCTGCTGCTGCTGCTGGCCATTTGAATATTCCCGCGCAAACGGGCCGCGTCGCTATTCCCGCCGTAACGCCCTGCGCACATAGCGCCCGGCGCGCGCAAAGCGCTCGTGGCGTGTAAGTGAGCGCGGCCATTTATAGACTGCGCGCTCCCCGCCCCCTTTCTCTTATAACCCCAGACATGACCAGATTGTTCTCGTTGGCGGGGCGGGGCCGGGTGGGCTGGCCGTGGGTGGGTTGCTTGTACAAGTGTGCGGTGTCCTGGTGTCCGTCATCCTGGACCCCGCCTCGCGCACTGGGGGGTCCATAGCGTTCGGCCCTACTGCCTGGCCGTCCGGCCGCCGCCCTGGCCAGGCCATGTGTGTGCCCACCCAACACAAATGTCTGCCCCTGCGGCCGCCCGGCCCGCGCGGGTGGGAGGAAGAGGGGAGTGCTTATTGTCTGAAGAAGGTGATGCTGCCAGACTATTTCGAGCTATTAGTAAGTATAGCCCTAAACTCCCCC